TGATTGGTGGCGCTAAATCGGCCTTCAAAGGCCGATAAGATCGTGTCGCGGCGCGATAACGTCATCAAGTGCTTGACGCTCCCGACGCACGCCTCCCAGTAGGTGACATCCCGGAAAAATGTATGCAGGGATGGGATCAGGTACTTAAATCCGCATAATCGCTGAAGAATGTGCCGTCGCTCCTCCTCACTGAAGGCTCTCAGAATTCGACCGGCACGGATTTGGGCTTCAATCTCCTCCGCATCATGTGTGGAAACACCTGGAGCTCGGAGCTCCAGCGCCTTCACGTCTCGATGATCAAACCTTTGCATGGCACTGGGGTCACCATCAACCAAATCGTGCCAAAATCGTCGGATATGTTCAAGATAATTCAGTATCTCCTGCGACAAGTCGGTCCATGGCAAGTCAATGTTTGGTAGCACCACCTACGTCGTCAGACTTCAGTCCCAGCACTTTGTGAAGCGTTGTAAGTAACATTCCGCCCCATAGGCCGGGTACATCGAGCAGAGCCTCGAAAGCTGCTGTGAGTTCAGGGTGCTTTAACAGTGCTTTCAAATTACGACTCCGGCAGCCTCGGAGGCGAGCCCACCATCTCGACTCAAAGCTGAGGTTGCGCTGAAAGTGGTACAGGCGGATCTTGTAGAAGATCATTCCGTCCGTGGGAATGCTTTCGTTCGCGTATTCCTCGACGAGGCCGCGCTTCACATCCGTCGACAGCCCTGGCCGGTACATCAGTCCACAGCGTTCATCGTGCTTTGTAACTCACCACCAAGATAGATGTCAGCGACCCACCATTTGTCCCGAGGAGACAAAAATTCGCGACCGGCTTGGATACGGTGCTTTCCATGGAGGCAGATGACTTCTGCACCAATAGGAAATCGAAGCTCCGGGTAGTCATCTCTTCGGGGGGTGAGCAGCTCCGTTGCTGCCACACCTGAAAGAGCAAGGGCGGCCTCGAAACACGTTTCATCAATTTCGACCAAAATACGATTGTTGATAAAGTGTGGTCGACATCCTTCGCGTCGGTAGATGCCCTTCAGACGGTCAATGTTGTCTTTATCAAGTTGCTCGTGATCCTCGAATTGAAACTTTAAAATATCAAGAGAAATACGTGCAGTCCCTCGATGTTGCCTGCGCCTTTCCGTTTCGAACTTTGCATCCTCCAGTCGTGCTCGGCTGGTCCGCATGGCGAGGGAAACTTTTTCGAGGACGAAATTCCCAAGGCCTAAATGTGTCCAAGTGGCAAAAATTCTGGGTCAAGAATGCCGCGCGATTTACAGAGTTGGGAAATCTTACCTGACTTGGTCTTGTTATATAGTACGATGAACGTTCTTACAGTATACAGTATCTGACGAACTTGCTAAGGAAGTAACCACGTGGATTTGACATCAGGCGCCGTAGTTCCTCCGACTGCATATTCCCTGCACGGCGAAGACGCCAAACCACCGCCGGTTCCGGGCTCGTCCCCTGAGCTCACTGAGGCTGTTGTGATTTATTGGTAATGTTCCTCGATACAGTATGATGACCTTTTCAAGTTTCTTATTGAACTCCTCTCTGTGACTGACTATTTCTTCCCTTTCAGCCCCGTCTCTACGCAATGAATTCTGAAACTCTGATAATTGTGGGCCAGGGAAATGGAGTTTGTCGACTCAGAGGTGCATCTTTCGGCCATATTAAGCTAATATCCTTGGCTAACATCTTGTAGCACCGTGCCATTTCCCATCCGTCAAGTTCTGAGAAAAAGTGAACAAAAAAGTGAACAAAAAAGTGAACAAAAAAGTGATTTAATCAATGGGGAAAACAAAGAGACACTGCGCCACTGTCATGCAAGTATGGAATCATTGAGATTAAGAGGCCTACACTTACAAGCCATCAAATAGCCACTTGCTTTGACCTTGACGCTGCCGGTACTGTAGATCTGACCATGTGGGCCATATAAACAACTGAGATAGTTAGCATAGCTGCCCATCCGCCTATTTTCATGTGAGTAGAGCATTCCGCCTTGATGTTGACAATTTCGCCCCTGAGTTTGTCTGTCTGCACCTTGAGTGTCGATAGGAGGAAGCGAAGGTCTGTCTCCGTTCCGTTCATAACTTGGCTTCGGAGCTCGGTCTGCATCTCCAGCTGCATCGTCAATTTGCAGGCTTCAGCGACCACCTGTCTTCGTCGCTCTTCCTCCTCCATCTTACGGGCCTTACACTCTTTGCGAGTCTCTTTGAATTCTTCTGGTGTTATCTTTGTACCATGGGATTGTGTATTCACGTGCGCATTTAGGTGATTCAAGGTGCCATATGTCTTTTCACAGCCATTCCAGCCACATTTGTACAATCTATCTATCTCTTCGTATCCTTGGCGGGGTCGCTTGTGCTGAGGATTACCAGAAACGGGCATGAACGAGTAAACCTGAGCAGTAGGCGACATTGGAGATGTCTGCAGTGGTCCTTGAGCACCTGGGATTGTGTGCGTATAAGATGCTGGCGTACCATTCGGCGGTGAGGAATCTCCTCACTGCTCTTCAGACGATCGCTGTTGCATATACAGAGGATGTTGAGACTGACGGGCGTACTTCTTATTTCCACCCTGTGAACATCGCGAATAGGGCCGGTAAGGTGGTCTAGCTTGCCACGTTGAGGAATTGTTTGGCTGTGCCATTATTACTAGGTGGTCTCCAAACGCGGATCTTGCGTGATTTATGTATGAATTGACAGTTGACTTACTGTGCATATTTGGAAGCTGTCCGCGCTTCAAGGGAATTTCAACTACAGTATGTACCATGTAGACGCTGTATGTGGCAAATGACACTATATAGAGCCTAATAACCCAGGGAATTACAACCTTCAACCAAGTTTACTGTAATAGAGCAGCGACTAAAACTACGAAACTTGGGGGGTTGGCTACCCACACATGCTGGCTGACCGTGCCGCTCAAATTGACCTCGAAGAACCCACAACAGCCAATCCCTCTACTTGACGATAGGTCTATGCCCTAATGCGTTGTCCGGGGCCACCCGGTATCCATCATTTCTGGTGCTGGTGCGACACTGAATCTCAGAAATTGTACATATTGAAAGCGAGCCATCTACGAACTCTCGTCAGGTATGTCGAGGATAAAAATCGTCTTCAATCTCACGACGACATCCCGGACAGCCTTCGACGCAAATACCCGCGGAAGAAACGTGTCAACAGCAGATCTGTTTCTTTCGACAGGACCTCATCTAGTTCACCAACGCTCTGCCTCCTCAATCTTCGACAGAGTCAAAGAGCATGCAGTGGCCCGAAACCATGCGTCTCGACATCGCGGGCCACCACGACGTTAATTTACAAGACTACTGTGACTGGCTCAAGTCTCGGGTGAAGAACGAATCATATAAACATGAATATCAAAAAGCAGCCGACTTTCTTCTCGAGAAAGCCTTCGA